TATATTTCTGTTTTTATGCCAGTACCATATTGTCTTGATTACTGTAGCTTTGTATAGTCTGAAGTCAGGGAATCTGATTTCTCCAGCTTCATTTTTTAATTTATTTTAAAGTCTGTTTTATCTGATATGAGTATTGCTACTCCAGCTTTCTTTTGATTTCCATTTGCATGGCATATCTTTTTCCATCCCCTCACTTTCAGTTTGTATGTGTTCCTAGGTTTGAAGTGGGTCTCTTGTAGAAAGCATATATATGGGTGTTGTTTTTGTATCCATTCAGCTAGCCTGGGTCTTTTGGTGGGAGCATTTAATCCATTCACATTTAAGGTAATTATCAATATTTATGTTCCTATTACCATTTTCTTAATTGTTATGGATTTGTTTTTGTAGGTCTTTTTCTTCTCTTGTGTTCCGATTTAGAGAAGTTCCTTTAGCATTTGTTGTAGAGCTGGTTTGGTGATGCTGAATTCTCTTAGCTTTTGCTTCTCTGTAAAGCTTTTGATTTCTCCATCAAGTCTGAATGGGATCCTTGCTGAGTAGAGTAATCTTGGTTGTAGGTTATTCCCTTTCATCACTTTAAATATATCATGCCACTCCTTTCTGGCTTGTAGAGTTTCTGCTGAGAAATCAGCTGTTAACCTTATGGGAGTTCCCTTGTATGTTATTTGTTGTTTATCCCTTGTTGCTTTCAATAATTTTTCTTTGTCTTTAATTTTTGTCAGTTTGATTACTGTGTGCTTCAGCATGTTTCTCCTTGGGTTTATCCTGCCTGGGACTCTCTGCGCTTCCTGGACTTAATTGACTATTTCCTTTCCCATGTTAGGGAAGTTTTTGACTATAATCTCTTCAAATATTTTCTTGGGTCCTTTCTCTCTCTCTTCTCCTTCTGCAACCCCTGTAATGCGTATGTTGTTGCATTTAATGTTGTCCCAGAGGTCTCTTAGGCTCTCTTCATTTCTTTTCATTCTTTTTTCTTTATTCTGTTCCGCAGCAGTGAATTCCACCATTCTGTCTTCCAGCTCACTTATCCATTCTTCTGCCTCAGTTATTCTGGTATTGATTCCTTCTAGTTTAGTTTTCATTTCAGTTATTGTATTGTTCATCTCTGTTTGTTTGTTCTTTAATTCTTCTAGGCATTTGTTCTTTAATTCTTCTAGGCCTTTGTTAAACATTTCTTGCATCTTCTCAAGCTTTGCCTCCATTCTTTTTCCGAGGTCCTGGATCATCTTCACTATCATTATTCAGAATTCCTTTTCTGGAAGGTTGCCTATCTCCACTTCATTTAGTTGTTTTTCTGGGGTTTTATCTTGTTCCTTCATCTGGTACATAACCCTCTGCCTTTTCATCTTGTCTATGTTTCTGTGAATGTGGTTTTTGTTCCACAGGCTGCAGGATTGTAGTTCTTCTTGCTTCTGCTGTCTGCCCTCTCCACAGGCAGTTATTATGTATCTATTATGTATTCTGTGGACTAGATGAGATATAAGTTAAATTGTAAATACAGTCCCTATCAGATATAGGGCATGACAGGGGAAGTTTAGGGAGGGCTGAACCTGGAATTACTCTTCCATCTAGGTGGGAAGACGGCCATCAATGGCTGTTGAAGAAACAGCAGAACATAGTATTTAAAGTTTGGCAGAGTCCTCTGGAAGACTCAGCATATAAGGGATCCAGTGTGGGTACAACATGGGACACAATGCCCAGGAATGGGTGCTATTCTTATATCCAGGCATGTAAGTCAAACCAGTCATATCTTTCCATAGATACAAAGTTGATAGTCATTGTGCTCTTTTAAAAAGTTTAAATCTCTGGTAGAGACTTGCATGAAAAATGTAGGACCTTGGTCCTGCAAAGTTTGAGGTCCTCAACAAGTTTAACAGGAGAGGATTTCAGGAGACAAACCAGGGAAGAGCTAGTTAGCAGAGCTGTGCTATAGAGAAGGGACTGGATCGCAAGAATTAAGCAGAGTAGTTTTTTCAAGGCTGGGCTCAAGGCTAGAGTCAGAGAAGCATAAGTTTGATTGGATAGTGAGATAATACAAAGAATTGGATTATCAAATCAGACACATGAATCAGAATTTTGCCAGGAACAAGTTTTACTAATGATATCAGGTGCACAAGTAATCTTGAGACATAGGTGAAGCAGGGAGACATCTGAAATAGTCAGTACATCTTATCAGGGCCTTTTCTGGGGGCTGCATCAGGATGTTTCCTAGTCCCAGACTAATCTATGAGGTCTCCAATGAGTTGTGCAGTTAAGTCACTTATTGAGAAAGAACTTTTTAGGCCATGAAACATTTCCATTTTATGCTCAGATAGTTACATAGTTTATATCACATTTTCTAGGAAGCCATGTATATAAATCCATAGATTCTAGGTATGTTATCATCTTATAACAGGTATATCCTGCTACAGATGAGGACTGTCTTGTTAGAAAATGGCATTACTTTGTTTGCTAGAGGTCATTAACCTTAGTATGCTTACAAGGATATTTGACCAGGTCATCTTTTATTCTTTTTTCTTTCCTGGAGGTGTCCCCTGCCAATGGGACAGGAATGGGAGAGAGGAATTGCAAATCTTCTATTTAACTATTTACTTCTCAGATGATAAGACCCAGAAAATTGGAATTAAGCTGAATTCCGTCCTTCCAAAAATCTGGATTACTTTTGGAGTTTGACTTAAGGATAGAACTGGCAGGTGGGAGGAATATGGAACTGGGGGAAAAAGTAAGGAACTTTTGAGCTTGTCTCCATAATCAGTGGATAAATGTACTCCATATCATTAAGGATTTAAAAGGATAAATGGACATATAATATATAAAAAGGGCCTTGAGTATATGGATAAAGGGAGAGTAAGTGAGTTGGAATAACCAGGGCAGGCTTTGTTAACTTCTTTGTTTTCCTTCTTTTTTAATTTAACCCTTTCTCTCAGCTTGTGGTGTAGTGAGGGAGATTTCTGCACTCCACTAATGGGTGAAGTTCTGTCCATAAAGTCAAAGTTCACTCAATGCAAAGTCTAAAATATCAATAGAAATATTAAATGTAAAAGAGGAATTAAATATGAGAGAGGATATTAAAAGGTAGGTGGTTTCTGTGTCTTGAACAGACTTAATTTATCCTTGACATATGGTCCATTGTCAACCCTGAAGGGGTTGCATGGTTTAGACTAGTTCTCTGTAAACTAAAAGCTGAAGAGCTGAAGCATATTGCCTTTGGTTATACTGCTAATTGCAGAGTTGTTTTTCTGACCTGGGTACAATAGCCAGGCCAGGCTAAGCTTGGCTGCAGTAACAAAGGCCTGAAATTGCAGTGACTTTATACAACATATATTTGTTTCTTCTTTTATAAAGTCTAGTACAGGTCAAGCAGTCCCACACTATGGAACACATAGCCTCCATTTGTTCTTAACTGCCTAGGATTGAAAGTGACATGCTAGATTCCACATCAGAGAATTAATTAAGTGACCTCAACCTAAATATCATGACAGCTAGGAAATATGGTCTTCCTAAAGGTGTGGTGAACACACAATAGTGTCCCTGTCATAACAAGAGTCCTGATACCCAGTCACATACTCCTATCATGACATTTATTAGTCTGCCTCTGACCCCACACACTCTCCAGCTCTGAAGCTGGTTTGATATTCTTCAGTAATAGTATTTTTAGCTAAAACATATTTGTTCCCATAAAGCTAGTCATTCTGTGTTTTTTTTTTTTCTTACTTTAAAAATATTAACTGTGGCTGCTTTTAATGGGTGGGATTTTTTTTTTTTTTTTTTACAAATTCCCACTTGATCTTTTTTTTTTTTTTTACAAATTCCCAAAACATATATGCAACTTCAACATCCTTATTCTAAGTAGATGGGGGACTCATCAGGCCTCATAGAGCTCAGGTTTCAAATTTATTTCTTCTAGTTTTACAATGCAAATGGGCACTCTACACATTTCATATCCCCACTTTCTATTGAAAAATGTCGCTCAGTAGTTCTAGCTGCATGATTTTTAGATGAAATATCTATAGAAATATGTCATTGTGATAAAGAGGAGAATCTGGCCAAGAATCAACATTCTTTGTGTTACTCTGCAGAGAAAAGCTGTAACAGAAGCTGAATGATGTATTTGGTATATGAAGTGTAATGAATATAAGATGCATAATGATGCAAAAGATGCAAATATTTATTGAGTAATAACTAAATACAAAGGAGACCATATGGATCCTGTTCTACACTGACACCCAAGAATCATAAAATATGTTTGGACAGCTGAATATTACCAAACAAGATATATAGCCAGTGGGCTTGGCATGTTCAAATCCTGCACATTCCAGAGAAAGCACTGGCCCTTGACTAGCTCATGGGAGACAATCTCTGAGCCCTTGGAATGTTTTGCCTGAAAAGAGTATCTTTGTATACCTGAGACCTTGGGCTATACAAGATAGTTCATGCTAACAATGAAATTTATAGCGATTACCCGTTTTTGTTCTCCTGCGACGCTGGGCCATGCTGTGTCAATTTGACCTCTGGGGTGTGGGGGAGAGGTTGGAGACTTACAGTCGTGTAAGCATGGAATGCCTATGTACCAACCCGCAATAAAAACCTAGGACAGCAAGGTTCTAGTGAGCTTCTCTGGTTGACAAGATACATCATACACGTTGTTAACTGGAGAATTAAGTGCTGTCTGTACAACTTTAATGGGAGAGGGTAACTTGCACCTAGTTTCTCCTGGACTCTGTTCTATGCATCATTTGCTGATTTAAATCTGTATCCTTTCACTGTAATAAATTTTATCCATGAATATAACAGCTTTACTGAGTTCTGAGTTCTTCTGGTAAGTCATTAAACCTGACAGTAGTCTTGGGCTCCCCTGGAACACAGGTGAATAAAAGTTCAAAAACAGAAAAATAATTCCCAATAGAATTGTGAGACACTAAGTGTCATAACAATATATAAAACATATTTTAAGTGTGTTACTATTTACAAAAATTTCCCATAAATTACTCTATTTGTTATAGGAATTCAGAAGGAGTGAGAATCACTTCAAACTATAGAGTCAAGCAAGGTTTTATGGAAGAAGAGTCAGGATGTTGAGCTGGATTTCAAAGAGCTCAGCAAAGAAGAGAAGACCAGAATGGGGTAAGGAAAATGCAATCCAGGGTCAGAGGGCAGTAAGCAGAACATTTCACCTGAAGTGTGAGTTTGAGGAAGGTAAGTAAAGAGTTAAGACTGTAAACGCAGGCTTCGGCCAAATTGTAGGGTTTTAATACTGGTATTGTTTACCATAAATATAAAAGCTGAACTTTTAGTAAGTTAAACTAGTCAAATTCCAGAAAGTTTCTGTGTGTGGAGAAGGTTCACTATACAGGGTCTCCGTATGCTGTAAAATTCTGATGATAAAGTGAATCTTACTGCCCGAAAAAAAGTCACTGTAATAATAACCTATTGGGGTTCCACATGTATCCTTTTACAGTGATGTCCACATCAAATTTGCTCAATTTATAACTGAAAAATTGAACTGTCTTCAGCCAGAAATTGTAAGCTCCACCTGTCATCTGAGATTGTTGTAACATCACAGTAATAAGGTTTTTGCAATCAGCATTTAGCTCACACTTTTGATAATGATTCATTATCCAAAGCTGTCTCCAGCTCAGCTTCCCTGTGGCTTCACTGGCCCTAAAGCCTCCAAAACTGCTGTTGTCAGGAAGACTCACTGGTATTACTTTTGCTATTATTCACTGACTGCCCTAAATACATACCATTTTCTTTGGAAGTAAGTTGTGGGGGTTGGGATTGGAGTGGGTAGGATTTATAAGGAAAAGATGGCAGGTTTATGCAAGGGCTTGGATTACAGAAAGGCATTAAACCCAATGTAGGTCTTAAAAGGTTGTGATCATGGGCAGACCACCCACATCTTTATTTCTACAGCAAAATATTATGCCAACCAGCCCATTTCCTTTTCCCCGCAGCTATATAATGATTATAATGGTGTTTTTTTTTTGTTTCAAGTGTGTTTCTTCCATCAGGAGTAGGAAACAGAGGTACTCTATATTTGATGGTCCTTAGTTTGGTTCAATGCAAAGTTCAGGCCTTCCAACCATGTTATTGTGCAGACATACTCTCTTTCATATTTTGAAAAATTATCGTCTGTATTTAAATTACATGAACACTTTCTCCAGTTTCTTCTTGTATCAATTAGACATGAGCTTGCAATATGACTGAAATTGAACCATTTATTCCTGTTTCTCCAAAATTGTGTGCTTTCCATGTATTCTGTATCTCAGTGTCACTAGTATCCACCCAGACTCCAAAGTTAGAACCTAAAAATCATTCTGACTTTTCCCACTCCACTCGTTACTTCCAATCAACCATCAACTTCTGGCTAATTTACTGCCTGAAAACTTCACCATCCTGTCCACTTTTTTCCCTTCCTATGACTATTCCTTAGTTTGGGCTACCATTATTTCTCACATGAATTGTGGCAATAACTTATTTGCTGGTTCCTCTGTTTCTCATCTTCTATCCCCTAATTCATTTTCTTTTTGAAAATGTATTATAAAATACTGTACTAAATTTTCAGATTACAGAGCAAGAGATACATGATAGTCAGGGAGAGTCTTTCCCGCCACTTTTCCTCTCCTCCCTCCCTTGTTCAATCCTGGAGTGGAACTGGACAGTGGGGAGGAAGTAGAATGAGGAAAGAAAATATGCCAACTATATCATTACCTCCTCTCAAGGAGGCCTACACTAAGGTGAGAGGAAAACTTTAATTGGAACATTTTGGGATGGAAAAGGGAACTCTGAGGTAGACCTGTTAATTTGGAGATGTCAATTGGGAATTTGGGTGAAGATGTTGAATAGGGAGTTGGATTTATGAATATAAAATTTAAGGCTAAAGGGTGCCCACTCTCACCACTTCTATTCAGCAGAATACTGGAAGTTCTAGTCAGAGCATTTAAGCAAGAGAAATAAATAAAAGGCATACAAATTGGAAACAAAGAGGTTAAATTGTCTCTCTTTGCAGATAACATGATCTTATTATACATATGAAGTCCTAAAGACTACACAGAAAACTGCTAAATAAACAAATTCAGTAAAGCTACAGGACACAAAATCAACATGCAAAAATCATTTGTGTTTCTATATACTAACAACAAACTATCTGAAAAAAGTTTTTAAAAATCCCATTTACAATAGAATCAAAAACAATAAAATACTTAGGAATAAATTTAACCAAGGAGGTGAAAAATCTCTACATTGAAATCTATAAGACACTGATGAAAGAAATGGAAGAAGAAACAAAAATGGAAAGATATCCCATGTTCATGGATTAGAAGAATTAATATTATTAAAATGTCCACACTGCCCAAAGCCATCTACAGAGTCAATGCACTGCATAATAAAAATTCCAAAGGAATTTTTCACAGAAATAGAAGAAAAAACCCTAAATTTGCATGGAACCAAAAAAGATCCTGAATAGCCAAAACAATCTTGAGAAAGAAAAACAGAGCTTGGTGGTATCTCACTTCCTAATTTCAAACTATATTACAAAGCCATAGAAAAAATGGTCTCTGACTTACCATGGTCTGACTTGGGATTTTTCAGCTTTACAATGGTGTGAAAGCAATATGCATTCAGTAGAAACCATACTTTGAACTTTGAAATTTGATCTTTTCCCAGGCTAGCAAAATGTAGTAGGATACTCTCTCGTGATGCTGGGCAGCTCCCAGTCAGCCACTTGATCATCAGGGTAAACAACCAATACAGTTACAGCCACTCTGTACCCATACAACCATTCTGTTTTTCACTTTCAGTATAGTATTCACTAAATTGCATGAGATACTGAACACCTTATTATTAAACAGGTTTTGTGTTAGATGATTTTGCCCATGTAGGCTAATGTAAGTGTTCTGAGCACATTTAAGATAGGTTAGGTTAAGTTATGATGTTTGGAAGGTTAGGTGTGTTAAATCATTTTCAATTAACAATATTTTCAACTTACAACGAAAATAGTATTGGGAAAAGTTATTTAGGAAGTAACCCCATCATGAGTCAAGGAAAGTCTGTGTCAAAACAATATTGGATGGGCCTAAAAGCAGAAACGTAGACCAATGGAACAGAATAGAGAGCCCAGAAATAAACCCATGCATGTATGGTCAACATCTTTGAAAGGGTGTCAGGAATTCACAATGGAGAAAGGAGCTTATCTTCAATAAATGGTGTTGGCCATACACAAAAATAAACTCAAAATGGACTAAAGACCTAAATGTAAGGCCAGACACTATAAAACTCTTAGAGGAAAACATAGACAGAACACTCTATGACATAAATCACAGCAAGATCCTTTTTGACCCACCTGCTAGAGGAAGAGAAATAAAAACAAAAATAAGCAAATGGGACCTAATGAAACTTAAAAGAAGCTTTTGCACAGCAAAGGAAAACATAAACAGGACAAAAAGACAACACTCAGAATGGGAGAAAATATTTGCAAATGAAGCAACTGACAAAGGATTAATCTCCAAAATTTACAAGCAGCTCATGCAGCTCAAAATCAAAAACAATAAACAACCCAATCCAAAATGGGCAGAAGACCTAAATAGACATTTCTCCAAAGAAGATATACAGATTGCCAACAAACACATGAAAGGAGGCTCAACATCACTAATCATTAGAGAAATGCAAATCAAAACTACAATGAGGTATCACCTCACACCAGTCAGAATGGCCATCATCAAAAAATCTACAAACCATAAATGCTGGAGAGGGTGTGGAGAAAAGGGAACTCTCTTGCACTCTTGGTGGGAATGTAAAGTGATACAGCCACTATGGAGAACAGTATGGAGTTTCCTTAAAACACTGAAAATAGAACTACCATATGACCCAGCAATCCCACTACCAGGCATATACCCTGAGAAAACCATAATTCAAAAAGAATCGGGCTTCCCTGGTGGCGCAGTGGTTGGGAGTTCACCTGCCTATGCAGGGAACACGGGTTCGTGCCCCGGTCCAGGAGGATCCCACATGCCGTGGAGCGGCTAGACCCGTGAGCCATGGCTGCTGAGCCTGCGTGTCCGGAGCCTGTGCTCCGCAACGGGAGAGGCCACAACAGTGAGAGGCCCGCGTGCGGAAAAAAAAAAAAAAGAATCATGTACCACAATGTTCATTGTAACTCTGTTTATAATAGCCAGGACATGGAAGCAACCTAAGTGTCCATCGACAGATGAATGGATGAATAAACTGTGACACATATATACAATGGAATATTCCTGAGGCATAAAAAGAAACGAAACTGAGTTATTTGTAATGAGGTGGATGGACCTAGAGACTGTCATACAGCGTGAAGTAAGTCAGAAAGAGAAAAACAAATACCATATGCTAACACATATATATGAAATCTAAAAAAAAAAAAAAAGTGGTTTTGAAGAACCTAGGGACAGGACAGGAATAAAGACGCAGACATAGAGAATGGACTTGAGGACACAGGGAGGGGGAAAGGTAAGCTGGGACGAAGTGAGAGAGTGACATTGACATGTATACACTACCAAATGTAAAATAGCTAGTGGGAAGCAGCTGCATAGTACAGGGAGATCAGCTCAGTGCTTTGTGCCCACCTAGAGGGGTGGGAAAGGGAGGGTGGGAGGGAGACACAAGAGGGAGGGGATATGGGGATAAATGTATAAATATAGCTGATTCACTTTGTTATAAAGCAGAAACTAACACACCATTGTAAAGCAATTATACTCCAATAATGATGTTATAAATAAATAAATAAATAAATAAAATTTACATTATTATTTTAATGCCACAAATGGAATTAAGGGATCAAAAGGTATGTTAATTTCAATGGCAAAAAAAATAAATTTTAAAAAATTAAAAATAAATAAATAAATAAATCTTCAGAATAAATAAATGGTGTTGGGAAAACTGAATATCCACATGCAAAAGAATGAAACTGAACCATTATCTTACACCATGCACATAAATTAACTAAAAATGCATTAAGGACTGAAACCATAAAAGTGGAAGCAAACATAGGGAAAAATCTTGATGTGGGTCTTATAGCAAAAATAAATAAGTAGGACTCCATCAAACTAAAAGGCCATAAAAAGGAAGGAAATCCAGCTACTAGCAACAATATG